TGATGATCATTGAATATTTGGTAATTTCCAACTCTTATTTTTTACATGCATGCTAGTAGGTGAACTTACTTAAAGCCTCACTAGGAATAGTAAGGTAAGGTTTAGCCCGGTTAGTGTTGTCTTGGTCCTATGCCTTTGGAAAATATCCGCAAGGCTATGAGATTATATGCCCTCGTGAGACTTTGTCGGCAGCTACCCCATGAATCCTCTACATGAGGCTGCCATCATAAGGCAATATGAGGCGCAGAGGAGTGATTATATAGCCAAGGCATATGGGTAACAATACCGGTGCTATTGTCCCCTTATTTGTACTCTTCCTAATTGTTGTATTTTTCTTTTCTCTTGTTAATAAAAAAATAGCCCTAGCGGATTGCCAAAAAAAAAAAAGATTAAATAACTACCAGGATTGCAACTTTACTCAAATTTATACAAGCCTAACTAAGATACAACACCAACAACTGATATACGCATACCTCAAGTTCAGCATACCTCATTCCTTTCAAAACCACTTTTGAGTCCTTCATAGGATACCCATTTGGGTCATCACCTCCCCTATGGAAAAAGACACAGAACAAAGTGAATACATAAAACAAACAAACAAACAGAGACAAGAATAAGTGAATGCATGTTTGTTTCTGTAAAGGGTAGTTACCAGAAGATATAGGAAGTTCAGTTTGAGGTGTTGGATGAACATGAGAGGGAGAAGAATGTTGAGCCGACGTAATTGAACGATAATGGAGAGTGGTGAAGATAGGTTTTGTTGTTGAAGGAAACAGCTTTAGAAAAGATTTGGGTTTTAACGGACATTTAGTGTAATTGGAGAAGGGAAAAGATGTTCCAAGCAAAGCAGAGCTGCCGCCGCCGGAGATGCGAATTCGCCTCGTCCTCACACACACCTTGTCATACCCAGCCGCTGCACCGATTTTGTCAACTGAAACCAAGTCTTAAAAGGAGTGAAATGTTATTTGTTCAATTAATATTTTGAGGAAGTACATCACAACAAGCGTTTGTAGTCCAACCGTTACAGTGAATTAAAATTTCTTTTTATTGGTATTTATGCTTTACATCAATACCTGTTATTCTTGGTTGTCATTGTATGCTCTCTTAACTGTGTGCTGTTAATCCAAGACCAGGAGGAGCACTGCTTATCAATATCACAGCAAGGTGGATGGTTGTGTAACAAAGAATTAAAATTTATGGGTAATTTGATGTGCTCTAACTCCTTTTTTTCATTTCAATGCAAACAATTTCATTAAATTCCAATGTTGGGAGTGCGATTTTATATTTTTTCTTACATAAAAATTCAAAAGATAAGCAAAAAATTTGTTCGGATAAGAAAATATAGTATCGCGGAAACCTTGAGTAAAGAAATGTCATCTTTGCGGTTCGAAGGGACTTCGCTATAATGCAAGTTTAAAGGATAAAACCTGAACTTCAGAAGGTAAAATATGTGGTGCAGTTACAACATTATTGAATACAAACACCCGATGAGGGAAACAAGTCGTAAAATAAAACGAAAGAAGAATAGCTAGTGTGAAGATTTATATATGAATCGGTGACAATGTTCTGGATATGAAAGCATACAAACACAGGCTATATAACTAGCCTAGAATACAGAGCAACTTTCCAGAAGTAAAACCTCACTGTTTTCTCCAGAGATTTGGTCAATAGAGCAGCCAGATTATTATTTGCTGAGAATGACCAGAATCGCAGAGCATTAACAGATTCAATAATTTCCCTGTTAAAATCTCAATGTTATCTCTCGGAGGTGAGTTTACACTGCTCATCGCATGAAAGGAACCAGCCATCTCATTTCTGCGCCATTTCCATGTGACAGATAATAGATTTTCTTCCAGTTTTCTTCTGTAAATGCCTCACGTTGGATGAGTCTTTGTCTGCCACAATCAGAAAATTTCACACAAGTTAGTACTAAACAGTGATCTTCTATGGCCACATAAGATTCAATGGCTCATTTTAGTTATAATCAAAATTCTAATAATGGGTCATCTGCATATTGACTTCGGATTGTTTATACCTCTTTCAACTCTGACCACGGTAATCAATAGAAAATAACTTTAAGTTAGCCTAATTCAGTTGTTCACTCCTTTTCTCCTTGTTAATAATTCAAGTGTTCTCCTTTTTCTTTTCCCTCTTTTTTGTTAAGTTGTCTTTTCTTCGGTATTTACGTGAGTGAATGGTGAGAACAGGATCCTCAGTATTCACTCTTTTATTCTTTTTGATCGAGTATCCTCAGTATTCACTCTTTCTTATGTTTTACAAGCTACGAGCATACCTAAGGTAGTAATGACAAACGACCGCAGCTTCATCCACACTATATCGTGGGAAGTTGATGCGAGCATCTGCAGGAACACCTGGTAAGTCTTTACGCAGCTTCCCTACAGCAGTTGAATGTGAGAAAGCACCCACCATCATATTGTCGTGAATCATAGATCTAAATGCATTCACCTGCATATGATGGGACTATATCAGTAACCACACTTAAACAAGTAAGCTACAGTAAGAAGAGAATTTTAAGAAAATGTAATAATTCATTAAGATTTTTCACAGCCATGACAAACAAAAACCAGATGCATCCTTAGTTGTTTATCAACAATTAAATCTCTTGCAATTAACCAAGAAGTTATTAGTAGTAAAGTGTATTGAAATTATTGGAACGAGGCAATCCATAAGAGTACANGTTAAACCAAGAAGTTATTAGTAGTAAAGTGTATTGAAATTATTGGAATGAGGCAATCCATAAGAGTACATGTCAGAATTTATGGCGCAACAGAATTAAGACAGAATTTGCTTCCAATTCTTGCTCTTACAGTTTTGTTTTTTTTTAAAAAATCAACATAAATTATCAGTGCACGAAAGATTTGAAGGCATATTGAGCTGAGAAAGGCTAAGAACCTCTAAAACACTGATAAAATCCAGAACATTGAATAATTTCATTTGCTGGTTCTTATTTTTGGTGAATCAGTGTAACTTAATAGCTACAAGATGGTGCGAGTGTGCCACCAAAAAATTGAAGGTATTGTCAGGCCAACAAAGGCACCAAGCTCCAAAAAACAGACCTTGGCAATCTATTCATTGTGGTGTAGCCCCTTGCATCAAATGTACAAGAGGTTCAGAGCTGCTGTCAGCGAAACAGACCTCTCATGAATTCGGAGAGATCCTTGCTTCACCCCTTCCGAATCAATAACATGAGGCAAAATGGGGACTTCCAAACATCATCTTTTTGCCTTTGCTCAGCCATCCATTTCCTTTCAAAACATTGTCTACACTAAAAGCATATCCTAATAATTCAGAATAGAAAGAGCATATAATCACACTAAAAACCCTCATTTTCCATATGTTTCAACTACAAGGATGGCACTACAGGCAATATGTCACAAAAAGATTTGCTTTCCATCTCGAGTAAGTGCTGATTTCATGGTTACAGTACTTCACTAGCTTTTACCGCTTCACGGTCTAAGTAAAGTTATCGAAGCAGTGCTAGTCTTCAAGATTGTGAACTCAAGTTTTATTGATATCAGCAGCATTAAACATGCTTGAGAAAGAAAGAGAGTTTCTCAAGCCCTCAAATTCTATGCAATAATTTCTTACGACAGATTTATCAACATTGTATGCATGTGAATCAGTTGAAAAGTATGTCTAGTTAATACTCAGGTAGGCAGCATAGATAAATACTTTTAGATGTCATTTCACATCACTATATGTGACAGATGATCTTTATAAACCAGCCCAAATTATGCAAAAGATAAGTTACAACACTAGGATTTTCATTAAAGCTTCCATGGATGCTCCAGACACAAGAACAGGATTGCTCTAGATCAATATAATTCCATAGAGCGTGCATATTATTGAACACAATTTCCCAGATATTCCACCAAACTTTTCTTAACATTCAGTTTTTATATTCTCAGTTTTCCAAACCAAAATGATCCAAAAACGTGGAATCAGAAAGAGGATGCCTACACGATATAAACTTGAACCAAGGACATCCTAGATCCAATTAAGCAGCCTAACATCTTTATATTAAACACAGAGTCTCATTGCTCAAAAATCATAAAGATCGCGAAGAAAATGAAGGCAGGAGAACTGTGTAAATGATTAATGAAGCAACATTCAAGAACACTTCAAGCACATCTTACAGTTGCAAGCTCCTTANTTCCTTAGCATGAATAGGTCGGCAAGACCGAACAGTTACTGGCTCCTCATACTCGCTGAACGTGAACCAACTGTTGTACTATCGATTAACAAAAGACAAATCAGGAAAAAGGAAGGTGTGATCAATATCAATTAAAAAAATGAAATTAGCCCTATCCCGGGAATGATTCAAAGGGCAGAAACAAGAGACACAATCACAGTGAAGAGAATTTTTTTCTCACTTGATCAACTGCAATAAGAACAGGCACGTCCTTCACAAGTGATAATTCTTCCCTTAAACGAACTACCACCCCAACAGCGGCGTGCGTGGAACTAAGTCCGACCTGAACCAGGTCAAGCAGAGTATAATCTTCTGGTATTTGTACCACATCAGCACCCTTCATCCATCCAACACCAGCTCCCTCTCCCAATGGAATAGGTTCAAAAATCTTGCAGGGCAACTTTTGGAGGTGATCCTTATTATACTTCAAAAAATCCTGAATTGAGAAGAGAGAGGAATTAAGTATCCCAAAGTTTGATTCTTTGACTTGTAAATGAATTCAGTCAATAGAGGAAATTACTCTCTCCAGAAACGACAAGTTCAAGATAATATATGGAAAATATAGGGAGTTGGTTATCAAATGTATCTTTATTGAATATGAAAGTTGCGCTAGACCTGCACATGTGTTATACTTTAATTTTTCACAACCTTCATGTTTATGGAATAGGACAAATAGGGAAGTTATTATTAGCACAACCAACTCAAGCACTTGATCGAGGAGATAGCGCAATAGTAAAGTCACGGGAAAACATGCAGATATTGTGACGGCGTGATCCATATTTGCTACATGATATTGAAGAATGACTTTCCTTTTCTAAAGCAGCATATAAAGATCAACTGTATATACATCGCAGTGCCAAGTTAAACAATTTCCAAATATAGCCTACTAGCAGATCTTTTCCACTTCCTCATGGACTCAAGTAAAACTGTTTCTGCATTTTGTGATCTAAAATTTCAAACAATGAGCGTAAAAAACTTGGGTTCATTTTTAGTTACTTAACTATCCACAAGGTATGATAATATTAATTACCACATGGAATTCATCTAATCATAAGTCTCATATATTAGAAAAAGTACAGTATTCTTACCTGGAGAATATTTGCTGCTTGCACAGGAGTATCCCATAATCCTGTTTTAGGATTTTTATAGAAAAAGCCTCCATGAGTCCATTCTCGGCCTTTTGGAACGTAAAGAACTAGCCAACCTTCATCACGCGCCCAATGAACAAGCATTGCAAGGGCAATGCTCTTTCCACAACTTACAGGCCCATCTAGTACAACTTGCTTTCGAGCTTTGTGACCTGCAAGTTGAGGAACTTCGTGAATTATTTCTCCTAATGGTGACTCACTGTTCAGATACATAAACAAGTTGAAGGGTGTCAGCAACACAACGCTCCTCTCACCAGGTCGCTGCATAGTCTTTTGACAACTTTAGGGAGGATTTCCACAGGGGAAGAAACTATGTCCAGGAAATAGAGAAGTAAGAAAAGCAACTGAAGCTAATATGTACAGTTTATTAGGGAAATCATGAAATCTAGTAACCATAAGGGCAGTTTTATTCTGCAACATGATCTATGAGTTCCATGACAGAGACTCAGATTTAGCTCTGAAATGACAGAAATCAAATACGTTTTGATGCTTCAGTAAGCACTTCAGGCAGCAAAAGAAGGGACATAATGGCAGCTTTAGTCGTAGATTAGTGCAGATATTGAGGAAGAGAAGAAGAATGAGTGATAACTGTGATGTAAATTCCTACTCGTGTACTTGTTTTTCAAATTTGAGGACATTGAATTTTGCTCCTACATTAAGAAAAATGAAAAGCATTTAATTTGAAAAATATGAAAAGCAATGTGGAAAGCTAGGTTCTTGGTAGATCAAGTCATCAAAAAATCTTCACACTAAAGGAAACTGTTAAGAAAGACTTTAAAGTGAATATTTCCATCACATAAAACCAATTTGTGCAACCATCTGATTCTGATTTCTTAAGGAGTTTATATTACCGAAGGTACCCTTACAAATTGATGCTGATATCTCCAATTTACCGTCTTCAATCAGTTCAGCCATACTCATTCAATCAAAGCTTCCACTAAACACTTAGTACTGAAAGTAAATCAACAAATTTTTTGCAACGGTGACAGTAAATTAACAAACTCATGAACCCTAAATTTGCATCAATCAATCAACTATGCTTCGATCTGAAACTAGTTGGGTTCAGCTATATAAATCACGTATAACCATTCTGGTCTCTTTTGATCCAAATTCAAAACTAAATATTTAAAGCAAACTAAGAACTCTACAAAAGCAAGTGTGCTTACTTTATTAAACCAAACTACGCATCAGTCCTTACAAATACAACTCTCCGCAATCATAATTCAAGTAACACAGATAATAAACCCTTGAACATATGTTACACCAAAAAGATAAATGAGGCACCTTTAGCATTAGACTGCATTGTAGGATCAACAATACTTCTAAAATTATCTCGAAGATCCAGAAAACTCTGCCGTATTAGCAATGCATCTCTCATTGAGTCACCAAATTCCTTCAACATCCCATTTGATAATCCTTCTGGCAAAACACTTTCCAGTTCCTCCCGCCTAAAACAATCATTTTCATTAGTACAAACACAAACCAACTTACTAACAAAGTGAATCCAAAGCTTTATTCCACGTGTACCAAGTACCACTGCACCTACTATACCTTTGTTACAAGAGTTTAAGTTTTGTGCACCGACTGTGTGAAAAATATTAACACAATCAGGTTACTTATTAGATAATTACATGTAAATCTCTTCATAAGCCTTAATTGGTAATATGATTAAATGGTACCTAACCTGCTATCACATGTTAAAATTCATTTACAGTGTAAAAACAATTGCAGTGTATATAACTTAAATCCTTGTTATAATTGGAAGCAATTTAGTATAAACACATATCAAAAGTATACAATTTGAGCTAAATATACCTGAATTTCAGGTAAGTACACGTGTCTTTTTTGGTGAGTTGTGAAATAGAAGCTGCGGAAGTGAATAAGGGACGACCATTTGGACCGATATTAAGGGATTCATCCTTCTCGTCTTCTTTGAGAGCGCGTGCACGAAGATCCTTATTGAGCGATTCAGCGCCTTTGGCTCCGGTAGCGGCATTGTCGGGTTTCATGTCGGGTCTAAAATTGGGTTTGTTCGGGTGTGGGCCTTTTGCGAAGGTTCTAAAAGAAGAGAGTTTGGAAGGTGCTGCGATTGCAGCGGGTATGAGGATGTCGGAGGTGGTGGGGTGGGATTTCGCCGCCGTAGCGGCTGTTCGGAGAATTGATCGGAGCATTTCTTCAGGGTTTTGGAGCTTGAGGGTTTAGGGGACGAAAGCTTCCTGTGTTCAGTGTTGCTGTTGCATTTGATGGGTTTTGGAAATTTGAAAATTTTATGAGGGTATTTTGGTCATGTGCCAGGAAAGTGTGGGTAAGCCCAATTTTAAGGTCCATTTAGGAGCTGGGCCTCATAGGCTGATAAAGGGATTTTTACCTATCTATACCATATATCAAACTTTATTACCTTCATTGTTTAAGGATTGTGTTAATTACATTTAAGCATACCAAATTACCATTTATATACCATAATTCAAATTAAGGGTATAATTATTCCTTCATTTATTGTAGGCGTGATTTTAGGACCGTATTTTCACGTTATTT